TCTCTCTCTCTCTCTCTCTCTCTCTCTCTCTCTCTCTCTCTCTCTCTCTCTCTCTCTCTCTCTCTCTCTCTCTCTCTGTGTGTGTGTTAACAGATTTTGCTATGCAGTTCAGGCTGGCCTTAAGTTTACTGTGTAGCCCAGGCTGGCCTTGAGCTCATGGCAATCCTCCTGCCTCAGCCTCCTGAGTGCTGGGGCTATAGGCATGTGCCGCTACACCTGGCTTAACCTCCTTTAAGAAATATAATCAAGGGGTTTGAAGGGCATTGGAAAGGGAGCCCTTGGCCACTTACTATGTAGATCCACTCCTGAGGCTGGGAAATTGGTACTCTGGCCGTGGCTTGCTGACTATTTAACCACAGAGACAGGTCTTCTGAGGTTGTCTCCTAGGGATGGAAAGGATTTCTTGCAGGCTTCAGGGAGAAAGCTAGCCTGTGCCAGGTCTTGCAGAGTCTGGCCTGCCCCATCAAACTCAGAGCCAGTGGATATTTCCTTCTGGTTCTCTCTCTCCCCTTCCCTTCCTCCTTTTCCTCCTCTCTCCCCAACTCCCAACCCCCTCTTCCTCTAGCCCATCCTTCTCCCTCTCACCTTGACAGGCTGTGAATACCTGGGTGAGTCCTACCTGAGCAGCCAGGACTTCCCGGATCCCCAAGAACCCTGTAACGTGTGCACTTGCCTTGGAGGTTTCGTGACCTGCAGCCGCCGTCCCTGTGAGCCTCCAGGCTGCAGTCATGCCCTCACACCACCAGGGCACTGCTGCCCAATCTGCCAGGGTAGGACTACACCTGCCCTTCTGTCCCCCGGCTAGGAGCTCCCAAAGGACCCCCAATAGCCTCCAGTGATCAGGAGCTTTGCCACCCACCTAAGCCACATTTTACCTTAAGCCCTCTACTGAGATCAACTCACTGTATCACACTTGTCACACCCTACCCATGCTTTCCTCTTTGTTGTCACCTCTCTCTGGACTGTCACACTCAGCAAATAGCTGGTCCTTTGTTTTCCAATTCTTTGTACTCTTAGATTATTTCACTGTCTTCCTAAAATACCATATCACCCTACTCAAAACTATCCCATTGCCCTGGAGCCATTAACCAGGAGGGACAGCTGCCTTAGCCCACCTGGCCCAGCCTACCTGGCTACACATCCAGTGTACCTGTGCCAAACCATCCCCGTTCCTGCTGGCAGGGAGTTCCTAGCCACCTTGCTGCCTGCCTCGTCCCTCTGCCTGTCCCCCAGCCCTGCATGGATATAAATCCTGCTCTCTGCGGTCTGGCTAATGCCTTCTTTTCTCCCACACCTCACTCCTTGCCTGTTCCAGACACAATCATTTTACCTTAAGTTTTTTGTTTTTTTTTTTGTGGGGGGGATGGGATCCCCTGGCCATGGCTGTGTATGTGACAGTGAAGGAGTTTGTCTATGGTGACTCTCATTGTGTTCCCCTCTCTGCCAGGATGCTTCTACCATGGGGTCACCGCTGCTCCTGGAGAGACCCTTCCTGACCCACTTGACCCCACCTGCTCCCTCTGCACCTGTCAGGTGAGGTGGGGACTTTGGTGACCTTTCACTCTGCATGCTGCTTTCCTTTTGGGAAAGGTGCCTTTTCCACCCAGGTTACATCGCAGGTGATGGAGCTGGACTGAGGTCTTCTAGGCCAGCCAAGGGGTGTGGGCCTGGTAGCTTCGGTAGCATACCTGCCAATGGACAGCAAGCCTGGCTTGAGGATGCATTGGAGGGGTGTGGGAGGCAGGAGCAACAGAAGTGACAGTGTGACCTCTTCCGGCCAGGAAGGCTCCATGCACTGCCAGAGGAGACCGTGCCCCCCAGCTCCCTGCCCACACCCCTCACTGGGACCATGCTTCTGCCCTGTTTGCCGCAGTGAGCTGCCTTACACCTGCCCTAGCCTCATGCTATGCCCCCTTTCCTCCATTCCTGCCCAGCTGAGGGTGGGCAGGGCAGGGAAGGGTGGCCTAGGTTCCCACCCAGGTAGTGTGTCCTCCACAGGCTGCATTTTTAGGGGCCAGGAGCACCAGGATGGGAAGGAATTTGAAGGGACTGTGGACCGCTGTGAGCGGTGTCGCTGTCAGGTACCATAAGGAGCAGGAGGGTATTGGGTGAGAGCCCACGGTATCCCCTGACTTTGGTAACAAGCTGCTGGCCCTGCGTCTCCTGCAGGCTGGCCAGGTCAGCTGTGTGCGGCTGCAGTGCCCACCCCTGCCATGCTTGCTCCAGGTCACAGAGCCAGGGAGCTGCTGCCCTCGCTGCAGAGGTAGGCTCAGCCCCCAGGGCTGCCCTCTCTTCTGTCCTACTCCCTGCCCCATCTGCCCGCTGGTCTGCCCACATCAGCCCTGGACAACCATTCTAGCCCTCTTCCACCCTCTTGCTGGCCTGGCCTATCAGGTCACCCTTCCAGGTGCTGGTTAGAGTCCTAGAAGCTGCTGCCATTTCTGTCCACACCTATTCATAAAAATAATCATCAAAGGACCAGCGAGATAGCTCAGTGGTCTAAAGTGCCTGCGTAGGCAAGCTTAGGCAGGCATAGGGGATCACAGTTTGATCCCTGGCACCACATGCTGTGCCAGCCTTGCTCCCAGGCTGGGCTTGAGCTGGCCACAAAACAAAAAAAAAGAAAGAAAGAAAGAAAGAAAGAAAGAAAGAAAGAAAATCATCCTCATCATGATAATTAGCATTTATTGAACATACACCTAAGCATTTTGCTCCTATTATCTCATTTAATCCATATAATTGTGGATTTAATCCACACAACAGTCTTATCAGATAAGTGATGTCATTACATCTTTAAAAACAACACCAAGGGCAGGCCAGATAGCTCAGCGAATTAAAGCATCTACTTAGGCAGATGCAGGGACAGAGTTCAATCCCCAACATGCTGTGCTGGCCCCAGGGCATGCTGAGACAGCAATTGAGACTGGGTGTGATGGTGTGGGCCTGTAATCCAGCACTTGGGAGAATGAAAACAGGAGGATCACTGAGTCTGATCTGTGTAGTGAGACCCTGTATACCCTGTACTAAACACATTAAAAAAAAACCAAAAACCTACCAGGGCCAGGGATATAGCTCAGTGGCATAAGCACCTGCCTAGCAAGCACAAAGATCCCCAGTACTGCAAACAAAACAAACAAACAACAAAAAACACAGGGCAGGAGACACAGCTTGGTGCTCCCTGGGTTCAATTCCCAGTGTTTAAATAAATGAATAATAATCCTCTCCCTAGACTTGCTCCTCCCCTGTGTCTGGGGACATCATCTGTGGCACCAGACACAGGGGAGGAGCAAGTCTAGGGAGAGAGACACTGGAGTCGGATGTACCCATGCACAGCCTGGAGAAGGCACAGCAGGCCGGCTGAGGGCTGCCTCACTTTATTGGCCTGGCCCTCAACCTTTGCACATTCTCCTTTGTAGCCACAGCCTGAGGGGCCTCCCAGCCTTCGCTGTCATCGGCGACAGTGTCCTAGCCTGGTAGGCTGCCCTCCCAGCCAACTCCTGGGCCAGGGAGATAGCTTAGTGGCATAAGTGCCTGCTTGGCAAGCACAGGGTCCTGAGTTCAATCCCTCGTATAAAAAAAAGAAAGAAAGAAAGAAAGAAAGAAAGAAAGAAAGAAAGAAAGAAAGAAAGAAAGAAAGAAAGAAAAAAAGAAAGAAAAATAAACCCCCAAACAAGCAAGAATCAGAATTCCAAAGAGGCAAGCTAACTCGCCGTGGCTGGAGCCCACTGGCTGCAGAATATGAGCCTCTCTGAGCCTGTCTGCCTCCCCTTCTTGTCCCATATGCTGTCTGCTGCCATATAGTCAATGCAGAACAGCCCAGTGGCCACGTGCCCTGTGAGAAAGTCAGGACAGTTACAGTTCCCATTGAACAGCAGGAGCTAAGGCTTAAAGAGATTAGATTACCTGAGGCACGTGGTTAGTGAGAGCCATGCATTTGTTACATGCCTCCTGTGTGTCCATGTGTCCACCAGGGCCGCAGCGGACAATACCTGCTGCATGCAGCTAACTCTAAGAAGCAAGCAGACAGGACAGGACAATCCCAGGTGCTGTGACCCTGCTCCATGCCTTTCCCCTCCACCACAGACAGGGCTCTGTCCTGGCCCACCTCCCTGCAGACCTCTGCCCTGGTGGTAGCCACATGTCCTGCCAACCACCTGTGGGTGGGGCAGTCTTAAGCTCTCAGACTCAAAGCTTTTCCCTGCCCCTGGCCTGCAGGCTGCCGTGCTCATGGGAAGGAGCACCCTGAAGGGAGTAGCTGGATGCTCCCTGACAACCCTTGCTCCTCCTGCATGTGTCACGAGGGCATTGTCACCTGTGCCCACATCCAGTGTGTCAGCTCCTGTGCCCAGCCTCACCAGGGGCCCCATGACTGCTGTCCTCGATGCTCTGGTACTGATGCTGGGATCCTGGAGTGAAGGTGGGATGGGTTGGAGTCTGTGCCTCCCCACCTTGGTGGGGATGGAGTGGCAGAGGGGATGCTCCAGAAGTATCTTCCATTCTGTAGTCCTTGTGGGGGGCTGAAGGGCAGGGGACCCCACCCCTGGTATCACTGCCAGCCTGGAGGCTCCCTGGAAGTACCCTGCTCTTATCCCCCCCCCCCCAGGCTGTGAGCGTGAGGGCCGGAACTATGAGGCTGGTGAAAGCTTCCAGCCCGGGTCAGACCCCTGTGAAGTGTGCATCTGTGAGGTAGGAGGCTGGGGGCACCTCAAGGGGAGGGTTGCAGCCCAGCAAGGTCACTGCTGTGGGGGAAACAGGCAGCATGGGGTCTGAAGAGGACTCTGTAGTCAGGACTGAGCAGGCTGGGGCCAGCAGGGCCAGTGCATGTGGTTTAGCCACGGAGCACAGGACCTGACTTGGGGAAGCAGGGGAAGCTCTAGTGGCTGGCTGTGGGGCAGGGCAGGGGATGGAAGAGCCACCGGGAGTGCGCAGATGTCATGGTGGTGAGCCACGGAAGGGATTTGAGCAGGAGAAGGATGCTGTGGGTCAGGAGTTGGGCAGTGGAGAGCGCCAGGATGGCGAGACAGCTCCGGGCAAGGACATGTGAGAGCTCTGTCCCCAGTGACTGGAAAAAGGGGGAACATCATCTGTGGCACCAGACACAGGGGAGGAGCAAGTCTAGGGAGAGAGATACTGGAGTCGGATGTACCCATGCACAGCCTGGAGAAGGCACAGCAGGCCGGCTGAGGGCTGCCTCACTTTATTGGCCTGGCCCTCAACCTTTGCACATTCTCCTTTGTAGCCACAGCCTGAGGGGCCTCCCAGCCTTCGCTGTCATCGGCGACAGTGTCCTAGCCTGGTGGGCTGCCCTCCCAGCCAACTCCTGCCCCCTGGGCCCCAACACTGCTGTCCTACTTGTGCCCGTGAGTCTCAGGGTTTGGGGTAGGTAAGCTAGGAGGGTGGAGATGCACCCCCAGAGTGATACAAGAACAGCCGCCAGCTTTCCTCCCTGGCCCTGGCTCCAGCCCCAGGCCTTTCCAGACTCCAGTGGGCTGTTCTGGTGGCCCTTTCCCTGGCAGGTGGGGTGGACACAGCCGCAGGGCAGCTGGGAGGAGTAAGGTGAGCGGAAGAGACTCCAGAATATGAGGCTGGACATGTCTGTGGTACACTTTGCTCAGCAGGTGGCGCTGCAGATTGGCAGTTGTGACAGCGGTGGGCTCCTTGGGGTTTGTGAAGTAGGTTTAGAGGGGCTGCTGGCCACCAGAGAAGCTATTCTGGTTTTGGTTTTGGTTTCCTTTTTTCTTTTTTCCTTCAGAATGAGGATTTACAAAGGTGGAGAGGAAAGTTATCTCACATAATTTTCACATTTTCTCAGTGAAAATTACCCCTTTTTACAGATGCAGAAACTGAGACTCAGGGGTTGGTTATTCTGCTTGCGATGGTGCAGACATTGAGTACTTGAGCCGGAATGAGATCTGGGATGCCTGCCTTCCTGTACTTTCTTCTACTGAATTAGCCAGTTATATGAAAGAAAGCGGCAGTGGGAGCAGGCTGGCAGCCTGGCTTTTTTTTTTTTTTTTTGGCTGGCTTTCTTAGTGATTGATCTCAGACTGAGGGAGCCATGCTGTCGATTTCCAGTTCTTGCACCTTGGTAGTATAGCAAAGTTTCAAGAAGCTCAGCGAGGTGCAGTGGCACATGCTACAGGCCTAGGATTCAGAAGGCCAGCCTGGGCTACATAGTGAGACCTTGCTTCCAAAACACCAAAAAGAAAGAAAGAAGCCCAAACTTCTCTTTACTGAGGGAAAGGGAAAGAGCCTGTCACCTCCCTGGAGTCGAGATGCCTGGGATATAGGATGCCTCGGACCCAAGAACTGGAGGACAGAGCTGGGCATGTGACCCTGGCTCCCTGGGCTTTCTGGTCCCCTTCCATACTGGCTTCTTTTCTTCAGAGGCGCTGAGCAACTGCACAGAGGGCCTCCAGGGGTCTGAGATGGCCCCACTAGACCCCTGCTACACCTGCCAGTGCCAGGTGAGCCCTGTGCCTGGGGAACTGTCCTCTGTGGGCTGTGGCTGTGATCCTCTCTGACCTTTATTTGTTCAACATGAATGTCCCATCCTACCTATGTCTTACCCCTTCCTACATCTCACCAACTCCTTAAAATCTGCCGTTTCTACCTATGGTGTTCATGTGACAATGGGCAGGACCTGACCTGGCTCTGCATTCACCACACCTGTCCTGAGCTCAGCTGTCCCCCCTTGGAGCGCCACATACCACCTGGGAGCTGTTGCCCTGTGTGCCAGGGTAAGTGCCAACCTTGGCTTCACCCTCAGAGGTGCTTTAGAAGGAGGCAGATGCAGTGGCATTCATGGGCCAAGTGTAAGGCTTGGAGTCTGCATTCTGAATGTATATTTCATCCTTGAAGTGGAAGAACTGTTTGTTGGGGAAGAGAGGAGATCTACAAGGCAGATGGAGGGAGGGAAGTCAGCTTGGATTTTCAAGGCCTGGACTGAGGGTCTTCATGAGGCTTACAGACCCCTGGCCCAGCAGGCAGCCCCAGAAGCAGGTTCCAGGTCTGGTTCTTTGGGCCTCCAGAACCCTTGAGATGTCCAGCGGATTAGTGCAGTGCCCAGCACTGGCCAGGCTTCCTGAATATTGGTTGAAGAAATCAACCCCGTGTGGGAGGTAGCCTGGGCCCTTCCCTACCGAGAAGCACAGAGTGAGTCCAGAGAGGGAGATGCAGGTGGAAGGACAGTGCCAGGTCATCCCATTTTTTCTCCCCAGAATGTGTGGTGGAGGCTGGGGGCCGGAGAGTGGCAGATGGAGAGAGCTGGCGGGACCCCAGCAATGCCTGTATTGCCTGTACCTGCCAGGTAATCTGGGAGAAGCGGGGGTGCAGACCTCATAGATGGGTAAAGAGTGGAGGGTCTGACATTTGCCAGCAAATATGTAGTCCTTGAGGAGCAAGGATACCCTTGCTGGTCAAGGAGTTGAAGGCTGGATTTCATTTCCCACCCGAACCGTGATGGGTTGGGAACAGGCAGGGCTGCTTCCCATGGCTCTGCCCAAAGGGTGCCCAGACCTGTGAGACCAGGGACTCCTGGCCCTGTGGGAAATCCCTGGAGTGGTGATGTTTGTCCTCAGCGGGGCCATGTGGAGTGTCACTTGGAGGAGTGCCAGCCCCTTTCTTGCCCCCACGGATGGGTGAAGGTGTCCGAGGGTGGCAACTGCTGTGAGAGATGCCAAGGTGAGGGGCCAGGAGCATGGAGGGGTGAGTGAGATAGGAGAGGAGTCCCTGACCCTGCCTGTTGCCTGTCCCCTCAGCCTCTGCCCAGCCATGTGAGCACCTGGGCCGTCAGGTGGCCTCCGGGGAGCACTGGTCTGTAGATGCCTGCACTAGCTGCTCCTGTGTGGCTGGCACCGTGCACTGCCACAGCCAACGCTGCCCACCACTGTCATGCAGATCGGTGAGCGCGTGGTGTAAGGCAGTGGGGTGCGGGCGCTGGAGGCAGAGCCATACAACAGTGACTAGGCTCCAGGAAGGTGCTGTTCCTGGCGCTGCCACAGGTGGCGTCCTGACCCCACTTGCAGTGAGCATGGGTGGGCTACAGAGGGACAGACTGGGGTGAGGGTGGGGTGGCTGGGGCAAGGTCAGCACCCGGGATCTGACGGTATCTGGGGCTGAGCCCAGAACGAGGCCCCTGCCCTGAGTCCCGGTAGCTGCTGTCCCCGCTGCCTGCCCCGGCCGGCTTCCTGCATGGCCTTTGGAGACCCGCATTACCGCACCTTCGATGGCCGCCTGCTGCACTTCCAGGGCAGCTGCAGCTACGTGTTGGTCAAGGACTGCCATGGCGGTGACTTCAGGTGCGCACCCTTCTTTCCACCTGACCCTCAAACCCAGCCCTGCTGACCATGGCACCCAGGCCTCTACTACCCATAGTGTGCAGGTCACCAATGATGGCCGAGGCCGGAGCAATGTGGCCTGGACCCAGGAGGTGGCAGTGCTGTTGGGAGATGTGGTGGTGCAGCTGCTGCAGGGCAGGACCGTCATGGTGAGCTGAGGACCCGGGGAAAGGCTCTCCAGCACTGTCCTGTCCTGTACCCCAACATCCATCCCTCTTTTTCCCCCAGGTGGACGGGCACCTAGTGGCCTTGCCCTTCCTATGGGAGCCACTGCTTTACGTGGAGCTGCAAGGACAAACTGTGTTCTTGCATACCCGGCCTGGGCTTCAGGTATAGCCTGAAGGGGAGACTGGAGAGGGCTGGTTTCCCCAAGGGATGACCTGAGAGCCGCCAGCTGATCTAGGCTCTGTATACTGGAGGGACGAGAATACCAGCTATCTCCTGGGCACAGTGAAGCAACAGAGTAAGAGGCTGCAGCTGGATTCTTAGGAAAGAAATCCAGGCCAGAGACCTCTGGAAGCAGAATTTGAGGCCTGACATTGTTTTGTTTGGTGGTGCTAGGGATCAAGCGTAGGGCCTTACACACGCTAGACAAGTGTTCTACCATTGAGCTGCACCCCTAGCCCCCAGTTTTAATCTTGACTCAGCCACCCATGTGCTGGAGAAACTTGGGCAAACCTCCGAGACTCTGTTTTCTCATCTGTAAAGTGGGGAGAGGGCAAGTAGGGGTAGGGAAGACATTGACTAAGGTCTCCTAGGTGGTGTGTAGGGCTCCCCCCGATTCCATATGGAAGAGTGGCTTGCCCCCAGCCAGAAGCACAGCTTCATGAAATCAGGCTCACATGCTCTTCTGATCCAGGCTGTAACTGTGTAGCCCAAATGTCCAGGAGACACTGAATCTCAGAAGAGGGTAGCATCGCGCTGGAGCCCAGTTGAGGCATGCCAATGGGGAAACTGCCCTCGCTCAGGAGCTATGGACAGCTTGCTTGTCACCTTTGTTTCCCCAGGGCTGTGCCGTGGGTAGTGACATGTCTGGGGCCAGAGCATCATCCCTCCTGTGAGGGACCTGTACCCACCCATCTTCCCTGCTGTAGCACAGGGCATGATGACACATGCAAGCCCATGGTGGACCCTGGGCCCCTCGAGGTCCCTCTCCTTCCCTGCTGCCCACTCCCAGGCTTCTCTGTGCAGGTGCTGTGGGATGGGCAGTCCCAGGTGGAGGTGAGGGTACCTGGCTCCTACCGGGGCCAGACCTGTGGGCTCTGCGGGAACTTCAATGGCTTTGCCCAGGATGATCTGCAGGGTCCTGATGGGCTGCTCCTGCCCACAGAAGCTGCATTTGGGAACAGCTGGCAGGTAAGTGGCATAGAGGCCATAGCTGGGGCAGGATGAAAGAGCTGAGCACAGCAGGGCGTGAGTCCCAGCATAGCCTCTGGTATGGAAAAAAGACCAAAGATGGGCTTTCAGGGAGCTTTGGAGGCCCCCTGCCTGTGGTGGGCAGGATGAGTACCTGACGAAGGAAGCCTCATCAACTGGAGCCCTAAGTCCTGCATTGCCATTATTGGCTCTGTGGCCAGGGACAAGTTACTTTGGCTTCTTCATCTATAAAATGAGGATGAGGAAAAGGTAGATAAAACCCTCTTTGCTCTTATTAAAGGTAGTTTTTTGTTTTATCTTTTGAGACAGGGTTTTGCTTTGTAGCTGAGGCTGGCCTTGAACTCACTATGTAACCCAGGCTGGCACTGAACTCATGGCAAGCCTCCTGCTTCAGTCTCCCAAGTGCTAGGAATACAGGTGTACACCACCATATCCAGCTTGAAGGGAGTTTTTTTGAGGCGAGAGCAAATGATTGGGTGGGAAGCACTGTGAAGACGCAACACACACTGATCAACTGCCAGAGCTATTGTCACATCGGGGTTGTTCTCTCCATGTAGGTCTCAGACGGGCCGGGGCCTGGCCAGCCCTGCTCTGCAGGCCAAAAAGTGGATCCATGCCGGGCAGCAGGGTACCGTGCCAGGCGTGAGGCCAATGCTCGGTGTGGGCTGCTGAAGTCCTCCTCATTCAGCCGCTGCCATGCTGTGGTCCCACCAGAGCCCTTCTTTGCTGCCTGTGTATATGACCTGTGTGCTTGTGGCCCTGGCCCTTCGGCTGATGCCTGCCTCTGTGATGTCCTGGAGGCCTATGCCAGCCTCTGTCGCCAGGCAGGCATGACACCTGTCTGGAGGGGGCCTACTCTATGTGGTGAGGGGGCGATGATGTTGCAGGCTGAAGGAGGGCATGGTCAGAGGGGAGGAGTGGCCCCGGGGGCTTAGGTCTGCATGGGGTAGGTACAGGGAGAGGCTTCAAAATGGGACTCTGGTGACCAGAGCAATGGTGGGGGACCTCTGTGACCCTGTCTTCCATTCTGCCCACAGTGATGAGTTGTCCCCTGGACCGTGGCTTTGTGTTTGATGAATGTGGCCCACCCTGTCCCCGCACATGCTTCAACCAGCACATCCCGCTGGGGGAGCTGGCAGCCCACTGTGTGCGGCCCTGTGTCCCCAGCTGCCAGTGCCCAGCAGGCCTGGTGGAGCATGAAGCCCACTGTATCCCCCCTCATGCCTGCCCCCCAGTCCTGCTCACGGGACCCCAGCCCCAGCCAGGAGCAGCCCCTGGCTCCACCCTGAGCTAGGAAGATACCCAGCCAGGACTCCTCAGGCCAGAAGTCTTCCTGTGTTGAGTAGCAGCTACCCCAGTCAGCTACGGGGACAAGGCCCTGCTCAGGCCCTGGGAGCGTAGGCCCCTGTCCTATGAAGAAATATGGCAGTAAACTCTGGGCCTCTCAGGACTCTCTTGTGTATGTTCTCTTGGCTTTGTGGAAGTGGTTGAGCTGCTGGGAACATGGGGCCAGCACTCAGCATCCGGAGTCAGAGGGCCTTGCATCTGTGTCCCTGGGCTGTTCCAACCAGCCACTCTCTGATGTTATCTGAGAAACCGTGACATGGGCAGGAGGACCCGGGTGGCCTGGCCCCTGGCCTATTTACTCTGTGGCAGGCTTGGCCCAAGAAGCTGCTCAGTCTGCACACAGCACCCCTTTCCTCATAGCTGGTGGTAGTGAGTGCTCAGATACCTTCTGCGCCACTCTAAGAGCTGGTGAGGCAGGGACCCACGCCTGGGAGAAAGGAGGGAGGGACAATACACTGGGGTGAGATACAGTCACATGTGCATGGATACCAGGAACACATGCTGTGTGTACACGCACTCCTGCCTGCACCTCAGCCACACCCACCAGTACATGTGTGTGCCTTAGGCGCATGTGCAGCCTGTGAAGATGTAGAGGAGAGGACCTGGGTTTCAAAGAGGAAAATTTCAGAATTTAAGTTTCCCTTGCTACATACTAGCTGTGTGACCTTGGAGTTTTACAGACTATGGATAAAAGATTTGGGGGACTCCATTGTCATTATGAGCCCTGCAACATGGACTGAAGGCTCTGCTCTAGGGGAGGACATGGCCAAGCCCTTTGTTGTTGACTTAAGCAAGACAGTGTTGAGTCAAGGACACTCGCTCCACCAGCACCATCCTCTCTTGGGGAGGCTGTTCTCACGGGGGCCCCAGAGAGGAGAGTTTGCTCCTCTGTCAAGAAGCAGTGACAAGGCTGCAGGAAGTCAAAGCTGCTGATGACAGCACAGGATGCAGACTTCTGGACCGTATTAGTCAGCTTTGCATTACTGTGAATGAAATATATGAGGCAATTCATTTTTGAAGAACAGAGAAAAAAAATAAAGAGCAGAGGGTTTGTTTTGGTTCATGACACCATCTAAAATGAAGCAGCCATGGGGCTGGTGAGATGGCTCAGTGGTCTAAAGCACCTACTTAGAACAAGCTAAACTAAGCAAAACACAGGGACCACGGTTCAATCCCCCAGCACCACATGCCAGCCCGCCCCGCCCCCTGGTGGGCTGAGCTGGCCACACACACACAAAATAAATAAATAGATATTTAAAAATAAAAAATACCAAGGCTTTGACAGTGGCCTTTGGGGGACACTCAATAGCCCAGATGTCCCCTACATCCTGTCCCTGCCCTTATGACTTACACAAATGACCTCCTTTTCCGTAAGATGAGGATGGAACGGCACACATCCAGCAGGAGTCACTGCTGGAGCACGCAGCAGGCAGGCCTGGCCTCTTGTGCTCATCTTGTTTCCCTCCTGGTCACAAACAAACCCATGTCCTGAGGCTGTGTTTTCCCAGAGTGTTTGTCACAGTTATCCATGACAAGGTGAAGGAAACATGGCGATATGTTAGGGCAAGTGACTCTGGAGCCAGTTTGCTTATCTGTAAACCAGGATGACAATAGCACCTACTTCCTGTGGCACAGGGAGTGGGATTGTGTGGAGAGGGTGGTCCAACCTGCTGGTAGGTCCTCACTGGGGGCTGCAAGCAGCACACCTCTCCAAGGTCATGCTCAGTGCTCTACACTGCCACCTCCAGGCCAAGAGATCTGTATAGGGGTCAGCCTGGCATCGGTGCAGCTCAGGTGCTGCTAGGCCCTGGCTCAGGTGTCAGGGCCCTGCATTATTGAGATTAGAACCTTTGTTCCACTTGCTCCTGGTCCTCAGTGCCCATCCTCCACCTCTTTCAGGCTCTGGTGGCAGAGGCAGAGGGAGGGAGGGGACATTGCCATGATGGCGCAGGCAGCTACTCCTGGGAGCCCAGAGCTCCCTTGTAGCCTGGAGCAGGCCTTGGCCCTGTACCAGCTCCTCTTCCAACGCCCTGCAGCCCTGGGCCAGCTCCGTACTGCACTGCAGCAGGTGAGGAGGCTGGGCACTGCCCTGAAGGGTGGGCAGGGGCCTGATGCTTTCTTTTTGCCCACCCAGGCACAAGAGGGCCAGGACTACCCCCTAGGGCTGGCACTGCCCACTGTGCTGCTGGAGATGGAGTGGAGCCAGCGGGCCAAGGAGCAGGTGGGGTGGTGGCCAGTGAAGGATGGGTGGCAGGGGACAGGGCCAGTGCCCCCTCACACCCTGGCTCCCCACCTTCCTATAGCTTCTCTGGGACCTGGAGCTGCTGACTGGGGCAGGCCTGGGCCTCTTCTGGCCCCCCTGGGCCCATTTCTGGCGTCAGAGGCAGCAGGCTTACCATGCACGGAGCCAGCACAGCCCGCCCCTTGGTAGGAAGGGTGGGGACACTGAGCAGCAGGTGAGTGAGGTAAGCAGGGGCACATATGAGTTTAGGGCTGTTGTGGAGGTGAGGGAAGTAGAAGGTTCATGGACTTTGGAGATCTACAGCCCTGTCTGTAAATCTGCTCTGATGGCTCCTGCAGCTGTGAGCTTCAGTCTCCTCAGATGTAAACGAGGAAAATGGCAGATATTTCGCCAAGGCTTCGAAGGACCTGGGAACTCATCAGAGGGCTTCGAAAGGAGCCCGGCACACACCAGATGCTTGTTACTTGCAGGTTGCTATTATTCCACAATTAACCACCAGACTGGTCAATGAACTGTGTGCTGATTCTGGGAAGCCTTTCGGTGTGGCTGCCCAGGTGCCCAGGGCTGCCCTGAGAGGGATGGAGACACTGAACAGCCCTTACCAGGGGCTGCCCCTCCACAAGGGTGTTGCTCTGGTGATGGGCCCCAAAACTGAGCAGAGCACTGGGATGTGGATCCCAGTCCCTGCCCTGCCACTGGCTCTGAGGTACAGTAAGCCTCAGTCTGTAGCAGCTCTGGGCCATGGCAGTCTCAGCCACAGGAGGATGGGTGGTGAACACTAAGAGCAGTCGGGCCAGGACTGCAGTTTCCTCACAAGGCTCAAGAGAGCAGGAGGAAAATGTTCCGAGCACTTTACATGCAAAGGAAATGGTCAGACAAGAACCTGAGTACTAGGAGGCAGCGGCCTTGAGACCATCTTAGGGACTGCCTTCCACACTGGGGGTGGGGGCTGTTGCTGTCCTGTGGACTTAGGTTCTCCAACCCTTTCAGCGTTCCAGGCTGTGCCCTTCACCCCTGGCTGAGGACTCCCAAAGCCAGAAGCATCAGCTCACAGAAGGGTGCGTCCCTCTCCTAGGAAACCCTGTATTTCCTCTGTGTTGCCTCACATAGTGGCCCGGGACCCAGTCCTCTCTTGTCTCCTTCTGCAGTCCTGCCCCATGCCCCTACTCATGTCTCTGGCTCCTTCCAGGCCCTCAGTTGCACACAAGGTTGCCGAACTGCTCCTGGTAGGGTGACCCCAGAGTTCTAGTTCCCAGGATCTAGCTGGCACAAGGCTTGGGAGGAGAGGCCATCCTGAATGTTTAGACACTGGCTGGTGGGTCCTAGGGGAGAATGGCAGCTGGACCCCTACCCTACTCCTGAGCCCAAGGGCTATCTGAGATGCACTTGAGACAGTTCCTGGACTCCTTCAGGGAGCAGGCACCAGGCCCGTCATCTGCATCGGATCTGGGTGAAGCCAGGAATGACACAGACCCAAAACAAGAAGGCTCTGGCACACCTGAAAAGGCCACACCTGGTATGTGGACAGGAGGGGTCGGGCAGCCAGGACAGCAGGGAGCTCCTGGAGCTGGAGAAGTCAGATTAGGTGGGAAGGCAGGGATCTTCTTAGCTCAAGTGTAGGGACTTCTGTCATTGTTCAGGTTCTCACTAGGTAGCCCATGGTGGCTTCAAACTTGTGATTCTCCTGCCTCAGCCACCTGAGCACTAGGATTATAGGTGTGTGCCATTAAACCCAACAATCATAGCTTTAATTCTTCCTTCATACACAACAGTGTGTTTCTGGTTGACAGAAGCTTTTGCAAGTATTTTATCTCTTAGGAAGACAGATATTAATTATACTATTACCTGGAAAATAAACGATCTAGTAAGACAACAGGTCAGCATCCCAGAGGGAGGGGTGGGAGGTTGTTTTCAGAATACGTGGCAATCATTTCTAAAGCTTAACAGTCTTACCAGCTCCTTTGTTCAAAAAACCTTTGAAAGATCTACTTTCACAGAGAACACACCCATTTGGTTAAAGTTATGAATATTCACATCTCTATTGCCTAGCAGAGCAAGATGTGAAAGCTCTCTATTTAAGATCTTTTGAAATCAGGTTCGATTAACTAATTTTATGGATGTAGAACATCTCTCTTTCCTCCACAGCTGCAAGGCAGCAGCGACATCATCTCTTTTTTAGTTTTCTTTTGTTAATGAGGAACATTTGCAGTTTCTAGGCCAAGCTCAGCTTTTCATTTCTTGAATTTCATTTGAGCTTGGGGTCAGAGACAAGGGGCTAAGGAGGATTTTCCCTAATAACAGGAAAAAGTATAGTACATGGTATTTTTTTCTATGGTCTCAATTGCCACAGCAGGACAAGGTGTGGTGTAATGGTAGAGAGGCCCCAGAAAATGAGCTCTTCTTGTTCCCAGGCCAACTGCAGTGGTCTTGGGGGGTGTGCAGGATGCCCTAGAGTGGTCTGTCCTGGCTGGGTGGATGAGGGAGATGGGGTTGGCTGTTGGCAGGCACATCTGACAAGCAGGTTCATGATAGGCCGGGCAATGCAGGTGGGATAATGAACCGTGACAGCCATGAAATTCAAGCAGCACCCTTAGGGTGCCACCCATTCCCCTACACTGGGCTTTTCAGGTAGTTTGGGACAGTGTGTGAGGGGTTGAGGCGTGACAGAGAGCTCTCAAAGTGGGTCTTTCTCCCTCAGGTTACTTACAGGACATGACTCCTATCACCAGCAGGTCCTTTGAGGAGCCAGAAATTTCAGTGTTCAAGGTGAAAGGGTCAAAGGGACCTGGGCAAGGCCTCTCTCAGGTTGGAGACAACTCCGGTGGGGTTTACCTGGGAGGAGGTTGCTGGTGTGAGGTGGGGCTGCCTCCATGTTGAAGGAGGGACCCTCACTGAAGAACTGTTACAACAGGTAAAATGGCCTCAGCAAATTCAGAAAGGAGGCAAGGACCAGGCACTGGAGTGTCCCATCCCCCTGAGGAAAGGTGCTTACGGGAACTGGGAATAAGCCTGTACCCAAGGTGCTCTCTCCCTTTCCAGGACCTGGCCCAGAGGGGAGAGAGAAGCCAAGTAGAGCCTCAGATCCAACAACCCCATTCACTGATACCCAGGAGCCCAGAGGAAAGCAAGCTCAGTCAAGAAGCCCCAAGGCCCTCTGGTCTGGCTTCCCAGGGCCTCCTAGCACCCCAAGATCCAACCAAGGGTTTGGGTTTGGTCCTGGACAGAGAGCGATCAGAGCCTCAAAAATTGCTTTTGTTGAACCTTCCTCAGAGGCTGAGAGAGGCAGTCCCTATGGGTCAGAAAGGGCAGGGGTCCCAAGAGGAGAACAAAGAAATCCCGCTGGGTCAGGGAGAAAAACCACCTGAAAGTCAGAGAGAAGAGGCATCCCAGGGAGAGAACCCAGAGGCTGCTCAGAGTCCAACAGAAAATAGTCCAGAGTGTTGGCAGCTAGAGGAGGCTCCTCGACCTCAGGAAATGAAAACCTGGCAGGCTTGGGAAGGCCACATCTCACCAGCCTGGGAGAGGGCTCTGGGGGAAGCAACTGCCCAGCGCGTGGAGGACGACCCCCTGGGCCGGTGGAGAGACTTCCCTAGGTCTCTGGGAAAACAAAACCCCCAGAGTTTGGAAAGGGGAAACCCAGGCCTTCGGGGAAAGGACACTCAGAGGACGGAGGGCAAGACTGAGGGCCTGAGTCAGGAGTCCGCTAGGCCAACGCTGGGGGCCTTCCGGGAGGAAGCTTGGGCACCTCTTCCCGGCCCAGAGGTGGGGATGCCGGCAACACGGAGCACTAAGGGCTTTGGGCAGCCCAAGCTTCCTCCATCTGTGCCGAGAGGGGGTCGCGGCCCAGCGCATCCGGCAGTGGGCGCCCCGAATTTCCCGGGCACGCTTGGGGAGCGAAGAGGCAGTGCTGGGGGCGCCCCTGCCTCGAAGGCCCAGTGGCCCGCGTTCCCGGGCGTGAGCGCGGCTCAGCTGGATTCAGCTCTGCGGCGGCTGCTGGAGCTGCACGGCGCGGCCCGGAGACGGCAGCGGAGGGACCGAGAGCAGCAGCGGCTCCGGGTGCGTCTCTGCAAGAGCCGCGGGGCGGCCCACACGGCGGGAGGGTGGGACGCCAAGGCCAAACCCGGCTCACTGCTGCCTCTGCAGGTGCTGGAGCGACTCCGTATCGCCGGGAACCGCCACTGCCGGGTCCACCCGCTGGCTATGCCTACCAGCCCTGCACAGCTCCAGACTCAGGCAAGAGCCAGGGAAGCAGGGACCACTAGGACCCTGCGGGGACAGGGCGGCTCAAGGGAGGGGAGGGGCGGGGCCACGTGGGCCCCACCGAATTCTGCCCACCCAGGAGGACACCGCGGGGTGGCAGCATGCGCTGCGGGAGCAGTTGGACCAAGTGCACCGGGAGAGGACCGGGCGGCTGCGGGCCCTTGGGGCCAGGTGAGGGGCTGGCATGGAAGGTTGGCTGTGATGGAAGGGGATTTCCCCAACTGACTGATAGGCCACTCTCCTCCCCTAGGAACACCCAAAATTTCCAGGAGCTGCTGTGGCCCCCAGGCTCTAAGGACCCTGTGACTGGAGAATAGCCGCCAACTTCTTGCTCCTTCTAGTCATTGCTGGGTCCCCAGAGGGAATGATAAAGAAGATAAACGTTAAGAAGAAAGGAAGAGATTCTGAAAGGCCCAGAATAGAGCCTCAGGTCCCAGACAGCAGACACTACACACACACTACAGGCCTGTTACTTCTTTTTCCTTCCTCTAAACTCCCAGCCTGGCTGGGGTCAAAGGGCCAGGTCCCGGGGATCCAGCAGGGCAAAGGCCCCATTCTTGCGGAAGAAAGACTCAATGCGGCACATCTTGCAGGAGACCAGTTCTTGCTTCACTGGGGGGCCTGGGAAAAGATATCAGAGGCCACAATAGGTTCCCGGGGAAGGGACTCACATAGGGCCCCTGTCTGTCTGCATGGTCTTGTATCCATTTAGTGAGAAATAAAAAGAACTTGTGAGGAGTGGGAGCTACAGACACATACAGGCTGGCTGCTAAATAGAGCAGTGAGTGCAGGCTGTCTGCCATTGGCACCTCAGCCTGCTGTCACAGGGACAGACTGCTGCCATAGGGCTTCCTTCAACCTCCACCCTTTCTGGGGCTTCCCTCTTGCTTTTGTTGGAACCTTGCTCCCTTGGCTTCCCTCTCAGGCCCCTGGGGGAAAAATGAGGAAAACTTCTAACCATGTCGATTCCTAGCCAATCATTTTTGCACAGGCACCGGAGCAGCTGGAGAAAGACTCATGACTGAGTGACCTCCCTTGAAATTCACCACACAGACAAAAGGCCACTCAGCACCTCCTAGCAACCTGGCAACACTCAGTGCCATATTCTCTGCCCCGCACTTTCACTCTTCACTGAAAATCCTATACTGACTTAGCTGGTTCCTCCTAGCTGATGGCAGTTCTCAGCTACACAGGAAACTGACTCAGTTTACTATTGGCCATGGCCCTGCCCATGGGCTCTGGTGAGATTTCAGCAACTTGAGCTCCTCAAGTGACCTCATTCAATAGCAAGGATTTTTTTTTTTTTTTTTTTTTTTTTGCAGAACCAGCGATTGAACTCAGGCCCACTGAGCCATCTCCCCGGCCCCAATAGCAAGGATTTACATAGCACTTACATATATTCTAATGACACCCAGACTTGCTCTTCAGCTCCGGGCTGATTCAGAGAGCCAGACTTTCATACACAATTCTAACACTTTGAGCTACCTTGGCCAACTGACCTGTTGCATGCACCCTCTGGCCTATACTCTTCTGGTCTTCCCTACTGAAGCAGCTACAGCCAAATATATGGGCATTGCCACTGATTTCTCTCTTCCTCTCGTTTTTTTTTTGCGGAACCGGGGATTGAACTCAGGCCCTTGCGCTTGCCAGGGAAGCGCTTATTCCACTGAGCCATCTCCCCGGCCCCTCATATTTCAACCTACCAAAAATTTCCAATGAGTTCAATCCCCGGTTCCAAAAAAACCCCAAAAATTCCTATGAGCCTTCCACTAAAACATCCAGAACTGACTTCAGCACTCCTGCTAACCTTCTAGTTAGGAGCCACCACCACCTCTTGCCAAGCTAACTCAAGATAGAGGGTTAACTCACTTGTCAGTCTACAACTCCCCTGGAAATCCATTACTTATAACACGGGGTAACTTTTTAAGTAAATCAGTATCACACACCTGCTGAAAGCCCTCCATTGGCTTCTCTTTGAACTACAGTAAAATCCAAATCCCTTTTTCCCTGTCATTTAGCTTTTCCTGACAATGTACCTGAAGAAGCACCTCTCCTCTGCCTGCCCAGTCATTCCCTAATCCCTGGAATTATAGTCCCTCTTGGCCATTTCCTTGTTCTGCATTTATGGTCTGGAGCCTCCACTGAATGCCCACTCCCTGTCACATGGTTGTTAATTCCAGGTCTGGGAAGTGACTCGTTTGAAAGGTTGGGGCTCACCCAGCTGCCAGCCATATGTGAAGTTGGTGGTGATGGGCAAGAGGTAGCGCGTCTCTGGCAGGTCCAGTTTTCGGGTGTTGAGGTAGTGGTAACGCCCCTTTAAGTCATGGGAGATGCCTTCGTACAGCAGGGCCCGGGTGGCAGGTGGTACTGGGTACATTTCTGACTGAAAAGCCTCTGGGACAGGGCTGGGAGTCTTGGAAGGGACTGCTGTGGGGACAGGCTGGGGTGAGAGTGGGGCCTTGGAGGCCAAGGTAGGCAGTTTGAGGGGCAGGCGGGCTGCAGCCTTGGCCTTCTGCTTGGCCTTCACCAATGACCCATACTTGTGGTGCCATTCACACCGCAACATCTTTTCCCTTAGATATTCCTCCTTCCAGAAATTCTGCCGCAGCGTATCCATGTTGAGCTGCCGCGACATGGTGGCAAAGAAAGGGTGGACCAGTACCAGGGTAGATGCCACCAAGGGGTGAATACAGCAAGCAGAGTTCTTCTGCCAGCAGGTGGCTGCCCTGGGACAGTCACCTGGCAACCAAGCCCCACCTCACACAGGGCTAGGGTTCTATTTGGCATGTCCTCAGCAGACCTCATGTGCCACCCTTCCTGAAGCAGCCTGGGCCCCCAAACCTCCCTCAGGACCCAGATTGAGCTGGAATTACAGGTGTCCTGGTTTCCTGGGCTTTCTTTTCTGTCCTCTGCCCCATGCAAACTGGTAGTCAGGAGTTCTCCTTCCCATCCCTGTCCCCAGCTGGTCCTCTTTGATCCAGACAACCAGTCCCAACTTACAAACTCTTGGACCAATCTTCCTGGCCCAGCTCTTCTCTGGCAGAATCTTTCTAACCTTGGTCCTAATCTACCCCTAAAGGCCTGGCCTACCATCCTTTCCAAGCACCCAGCCAAGTTTGGAGAGAACCAAAGTATTTAATTTAACATCAACAGTGACACTATGTAACAGCACAGGGAAGAGGTAGAGGAGAGACAGGATGGTTGGGCTTCCTGTTCCCTAACCAGCCTGGATTTTAACAGCAAGCCCCAGTGGTCTAGAATCATCCATCACCCAGCCAGCCATGGAGGGGAAAGGGTAGGGCTGGAAGAGGCCTGGCCATGGGGTGGGGGTTTCAGAGCCAAGAGTGGCCTAGCGCAGATCTTCAGCAGTGAACATGCCCTTGGCCCTGCGCAGGATGGAGTCCTTGGCAGCATCATAGGGGTGCTCCTTGGATGGGATCTCCAGGACTGCTGGAATGGAGCGCTGGTGGGCATCGAGGGCATGCCGAACCATCTCTGCGATGTACTGGTTGATGAGGATGATGCCGATGTCATCCCGGTTTAAAAACTGCCTGTGGGGGGAGACGGAAAGGTACTGAGGGCAGTCCAGGGAGCAGCTCTCTCCTCTGCCCAGACAGCTCTCTCTAGGTGTTGGCACTGGGCCATGGAGGGCAATGAGAGGGACCTGGGACACAGAGGACAAGAGGAAAGGCTGCTATACTAAACTTGCTCAGTCCTGTTCTTCCTTGAATGAAGCAATGTCACTCAAGAGCTCAGGGCCACCTGAGTACTAGCACTCTGGGAGGCTGATGCAGGAAAACTGAAATTTTGAGCCAGGCCTAGACAACTGAGCAGCTCAGTAAGATCCTACCCCTCCACCCCTCTCAAACAAAAACAACAAGGGTTGGTGAGGATATAGCTGAGTGCAAAGGCCCTGGGCAAATCCTCAGTATACCCTCCCCAGCACACACAAATACACACACACAGCTGAGGGCCACACTGGTCAAGGCTGGCTTCTACCTCCCCGAGTGGAGAAGGAACTGGTCATGAAGATGAGTGCTGTGTGTTCTACAAGCTGTCTTTGTGTGGGGAAAGGAAAGGTCAGGAATGAAGGTCTTTTTGCAATTGCATAAAGACTGCAGAAAGATACTGAAGGGCTTAAATGGTTATCCTTATAGGTAGAGGAGATAAAGAGGTACAAGGCCTGGGATGAGGGTTATATTCCTTACCATGTATGTTTTTTCGTTGTTTTTAGTCTGGTATTTTTGTTTGTTTTTGTTTTTGTGGTACCAGGGATTGAACGCAGGACCTTGTGCATGCCAGGCACTTACTCCACTGAGCTATCTCCTCTGCCCAGTTTTCATTGTTTTTGAGATAGGGTCTCACCAGTCTTGAATCACTGTATAGCCCAGGCTGCCCTTGAACTTGTGTTAATACTGCCTCAGTCTCCTGACTACTAGCATTACAGGAAGGTACCACCTGGCTAGAATTTTTTTTTTTTAACTTTTTTTTTTAGCACTTGAGAGGCTGAAAAACAGCAGGATCACAATGAGCTCACAATGAGACTGATCTGTGTAGTGAGACCCTATACTAAATAATTAAAAACAAAACAAAACAAAACATTTTTTTATACCTTTTCTTTTTTGACACCAGGTTGAGCTATGTAGTTCAGGCTGGCCTTGAACTTGGGGTGATCTTCCTGCTTCAGCTCCCAAATGCTGGTATTACAGGCGTGTGCCACCACACCTGTCTAGAAAATTTTTTCCTCTTTTTTTCTTTTTTTTGTCTTTTTGAGGCAGGGTCTCACTCTGCAGTTCAAGCTGGCCTTGAACTCACTTTGTAGCCCAGGCTGGCCTCCAACACACAGTGATCCACCTGCCTCAGCCTCCTGAGTGCTAAGCTAGGATTATGGGTGTGCCGCCACCACCACAGCTGGCTGGCTAGAAAATTCTTCTACTTCTTTTTTTTTTTTCCTGGTACTGGGGATTGAATTCAGGACCCTGCGTTTGCCAGGCAGGCACTTATTCTCCTGAGCTATCTCCCCCCAGCCACCTGGCCAGCAAACTGTTGAAGTACTATTTGTCTTCCTTGAACGACTACTTGGGCCACTTTACCAACTGCTTAGCAATCAGGAGATAGTAGCCTCCCAGGCCAGTGCCTATCTGGCCCCTGACAACAGGAACCAGTTTCAGCCAGCAGCTCTAGGCCGAGCTGTTTGGGGAAACAAGGGAGTGGAGTATTTCTGAAACTTGGTAGAGGAATGCTACAGAAAGAGGGAAGAAAAGAATAGGATTCTACCATCAATTCTAATCACCAAGATATCTCCTGGATTAAAGGGTACACCTGCATCCACACTTTGAAGCTATCATCCTTGACTCAGGCCAGGAGGAAGTACCAGGTTTTAGTAGAAAGCCAGACAGTCCAGATATTCTGCTCACTGTGCTTAAGATAAAGGAAAATTCCAAGGCAGCCTGAGGACAACTGCACACTCCGAGTGTGTATAGGAGAGGCAAAAAAGCGTTGGTTCTCGGTTCAAATTCCAGCTATCACTCTTCTCACTGGCGTGCCTTTGGGCATGTGTCTTAACCTCTCTGCGTTTCGTTTTCTCACTTGTGAGAATAATAACCTCTACCGTGCAGGTCGGTAGAGGTTCCTTGCGAGCCTCTAAGGAAGATGAGACTACAGAAAGGCCCAAGCCCAAAGCCTAGGTTCCCAGCGAGTGCGCTTTCTTTAGGGGGAAATTAGCAAAAGCGCCGAGCACCCTGCAAGGCCAGGGGACTGCTCTTTGATGAGTATCAGGGACCGGAAGAGCCGCTGAGGCTGACCGTCTCCACGGGCCGGGCGCCCCAGACGTCCAGTTATGGCAGGGACAGGTCACAAGTTCTGTTCCCCTTCTTTCCTGACACACAGTCATGTGAGGGGGAGCTTGTGGATTTGTCACAGCCCCGAGACCACCGAGCCCCAAAGGAGAACTTGGGGGCACGGAGGCTTCCACTTCACAAGGGCGGACAGCGTTCCAGAGTCGCCTCTCATCCCTGTAGGGGTCTGACACCTCGGACCCCGGGTCGCCTCTGCCCTCTCCTACGCTCCCCTAGACAGCAGCCCGTTCAGGCCTCGCAGGCTACCGTACCGGAAGGTGTCTTCGATCTCATTGATGGTTGTATCCTTTTCTACCACCAGGAAATTAGGATGGCGATTCTTGTTAAGCTCCCCTATGCCGCCCAGGAGAAAACCAGTAACTGTGTCTTCATCTCCGATCACTGCGATTAGCTTCCCCCTTCCCGTCATCGCAGCAGCTAGCAGCGACAGCTCCAACTCCAGAGGTCGCCAAAGCCCCGCCCCTGCAGTGTGTCATTGTCCAGCGGACCCCAGCCCCTCCCCTAAGACATGCGCAGTTCCACCGCTACCGCTCCGGGACATGCGCATTAGCAGAAATACGGTTCTTCCTGAATGCGCCTGCGCCACACAGCGAGGCCTAAGTCAGGTGACTACGCTTCCCAGAGGGCCGCGCGACACACGGGCTCTCCGGCGTTTGTCAGCTCTTTGAAGTGCTGGGTGCCTTACTCGCGCCCACATAGTTTTGGGTTGAGCGCTGTTAGGCGCTGAGATCCCAAGGAAGGTCGGAGTCTGGCCGTCTGTGCGTTACATAATGACGACACAGTTAACAATGCTTGTTTGTTAGTTACCAAGAGAATAAGCAAGTTACTGATAAGAATGTGTCGCGAGATAGTCAAGAGAACAGGCGAGTGCAAAGTATCGAGTTAGTTGCTAAAATGTGAGTACATGGGAGCGCACATGTCTGGTGAGTAACTCCCCAAGAGAGGCAGTGCCTGAAGCGCACTTCCCTAAAGAGGTGGCCTCACCTGAGTTGAGAAAGGACCGACAAAGTGAAGGGTATAGAAATGAGGGCAAGAGTGTTCGGAGCCGGAGGACCGGCATATGCCAAGGCGTGGCAACTAGAGAGCCTAAGAATACTGAAGAAAATCAGGCCCATTTTCCTGAAAACGAAAGAATTTTAAGTGAATGACTGCTAATGGCCAGACTTATGCTTTAGCGCCATCACTGAACTGTGCTGCTGGGGGAGGCTGACTGAAGGAGGAAAAACCAAACTGGGAAGGCACTGTGGTAGTTAGTGATAGGTTGTGCAGTTTCCTTTCGCCTTTCCTGCTGCCACAGGGAAGACCTCAATCAGCTCTTCAGATATTTCTTTTTTTTCTTTCTTTTTTTTTGCGGAACCGGGGATTGAACTCAGGCCCTTGCGCTTGCCAGGGAAGCGCTTATTCCACTGAGCCATCTCCCTAGCCCTCTTCAGATGTTTCTAAACATCCCCCTCAAACTCCACCCCCACCAAAAGTTCGTAAAAGACTCAGCTTTCTTTGTTTCAGGCCGGAAGATCTATCTGTCCCATCTATCCTTTCCGTGTCTTTAAAGTTAATAAAGCCTTCTTTTTTCTTTCCTATATCTTTACTGCGCTCGGAAAAATTTATCAGTTAGGATGTGCAGAAAGAGATGAAGTCAGCAAGAGTGGGGCAAAACTGCTTTTCGGATTAGATGTGTTTGGGGGTTGAGGTAGAGTTACTCAGGTGACTTGCAGGCATCTGATCTGTGCAGTTAAACGGATAGGAGAGTATCCCCGATGGAGTAAAGTCTGAGATGAACAGGTTGTAAGAGAAAGGGCGCTCTTTTCGCTTACCTTTCAAGAAAAGGGAGGAGACTGTATCCAGTAAATTTTAAAAAAGCAAAGAAAAAGAAATGGGGACCCCTGGCATTGGCATATGGTTTGTGAATTTTGAGCCCTTGGGATATCTGGTCTGGTTTAGTGGTTGTGGGTATGGTAGGCCTGGATTTGAAGGTACCTGGTCTGACTCTTAGCCCTGCTACTTTGCGTTTCAATTTTGGGCTCACTGAGATTTCTAGGGTCTTGGTTTCTTCAGATAACAGTAGAGTACTTCCCAGGGCTGAGCACCCAGTCCCCCACTGCAGCTGGGTACAAGCAGCTCTGCCAGTCTAAATACATCAATCCCAGAGGGAGGACAGCAAGGTAGTTGGCAAAACCTCACTGCAGGGGCTGAGGGAATGAGGGGCAGAGAGTGAGATGGCTATGAGGGTGTGTGTAGGAGTACCTGGTTTCGGGGCTGGCACAGAGCTGGCCCTCAGTGGCCACGAGTGAACAAATCTGCCCATACGTATTTATTTGGTACAGAGTCTCTCTGTGCAGATGTGATCCTCCTGTCTCAGCCTCCCTAGCACTGGAATTACAGGCGTATATCACCAGACCCAGTTCCAGTGGCCAGCATGACATGGCCGGGGTTCAGGAGCCAGCACAGTATGTGGTACTGGGGATCAAACCACAGTAGGTGCTTATGCCGCCGAGCTATCTCCCCAGCCCATCAACTTTTGTCAGATAAAGGAGCTGGAATACCATCACAGTCATCTTGACTCCTTCATTCAGCTGTCATTTATCAAATGTGACCCCAGTTTGGAGCTAAAGATACAAGATTAATGGAACCTGATTTCTACACTTCGAGATTTCCTGCAAGATGAGGGAGGTGAGAAATGTCAGAGAGAGAGGACTGAAATAGAGTGAAAACTAGCTCTGCAAATATCCTGAGGGGCACATTCAGGGTGAGGAGGGGGCAAGTACCTCATCCTAGATGCAGGAAGGGGAAGGTGAAAGTTAGGAATGAGGAGCAGACAGGCCACTGAGTGAAGGGGTGAGGAGGGTGGTTAGGAACAGGAAAAAGGGTTTGGGGGTCTTTTCCAGCAGTCCCACTGCTTAGGGCCTGAGTGCTGTTCTATTGTTGCAGGCTCTATTAAAAGAAACATGTCTGCCCTGCTCTACCAATGAGTTGTTCATTCAGACCCTTATTAGATCTCCCAGGCCTGGGGGGCTCAGGCTGATGCACAGGCTATGGTGGATAGCTGGTCCTGGTCAGCATTGTAGATATAACCAGAGATGTGTCCAAGGACAGGGTCCAGTAAAATTTCCTGTGGGCCAGGAAGCCAGTGGTTGGGGGCAACAGTTTCCAAATAGATGGCCTGCAGCACAGATGCCTGGGAAAATAGAGGCCATGAAGGGCATTGGAGGACCATTGAGTTGTAAGGAGCAGGTATCTGAATGTGGGGGATCTCAGAAGCCTTCTTAGAAACGAGATTATTTAGCCTGGAGCAAGAGGGAACCACAAAAGAATTTAAACCAAAGAAGGACATACTGCTGCTGGTGGGACCCCCTCTAGCTTTAGCGTGTACAGGGAGTGAGCTGGCCAGGACCTGCAGGAGCCCAGGAGAAGCTCTGGAGTGAGGTCATGGTGGAGGAGGGGCTGCAGCAGACTTGACCCAAACCTAGAATGAAGGTCCCGCTTGCCTGCTGGGTGAAGACCATGCCTATTTGAGTCTGCGCTCACTGTCTTAGATTTCTCATTTGAAGAGCATTTCTTAGGTCAGGCTGAACTGAAACTGGCCTTCTAGAAGTCTTAGAGCAGGCAGCATTCCAGAACAGTGTCCACTCCCTGGTACTGTCTCCCGGCTTCCAGCTAGCTGAGGACTCAGCCTCCACCCCCACCCCAGTCTCTTGAGCTTTCTGCCAACATCCCAGCCCTCAGGTCTGCCCCAGGCCACTGTTCCCTCAGCCTGGGCAGTCTTCCAGGGGACAACCATCCCGCCTCTGCCTCCCCAGGGCAGATTTGGAGCCAGCCTGCCAGGAAGCAGCCAGCCACCCAGAGCACGCCCACAAGGAAGAGCCAAGCCTCTGCGACAGCCGCACTTTATTTGGAGTTTTCCACCTAAGCAGCTCCCAGCTGAGCTGCATGACATGTGCAAAAGACCCCCAGAAAGCTGGGCCTCGCAGTGTGTAAAAAAGGCCCCCCAAGGGGCAGAGCTGTGCAACCGTAAAAAAGAGAGGGAGGGAGAGGGAGGAGGAGGGAGGGTGGGAGGGAGAGAGAGAAATCAGTCCCCGAGGAAGCCTGGCTTGGGTGGGGTACATAGAGCTTGGGGCAGCCCACATGCTGCTTGTTCCAGATCTGCTCTCTTCTCCAATTGTGCTTTCTTTTCCAAGTCCTTAACACTCCAGGGTGGTGGCCACCACCGGAGAGGCCAGATGCAGTCCTCAGGCAAGGCAGCCTGGCCGGCAGAGTGATTTGAGGGTAACCACTCTCACAGACGCCCCCAAAACCTTGCTCCCCCACTGGCCATGGCTCTACCAGGAAACTCAGGGCTCCCCTCACCCCCTGTGCTGCACTGTGTCACAGCCTCTGCCTCTGAGCCTGGCCCCATCTCCCCTTATGGCACATCCAAGGGAGGACACCAGCCTGAGACAGATAAAAAGCCTCCATCCACAGAGGGCAAGGAGGCTGTGCCATTCAAGTCACACCCAAGGCAGGTGTCTAGTGCTGGCTCTGTGTGAGTGTGTCTGGGTGTGGCACACTGGTGTGTGGATGGGTGTGAGTGCTTGGCCGGAGGTGGGGGCTGAGGCTGGGGGAGGCACTTCTGGGATTCAAGGCACATTGACTTTGAAGGGGCTTCCAGGGACACTTTCATCACCCCACTTGACAATGAGGATGTAGTCCCCTTTCTCCTTGACAGTGTAGGTGACATTGTATACCCGGTTCCCTATGTGCTTCACATACACCTCCTCGCAGGGGGTCTTGGGCCCATGCACACCCACCATCATCATGTTGGTGCCTGGAGAGGAGACAGAGGGATGGGCTCATACCAGGGTCCCAGAGGCCCGCACCCTCCCCACCCCCCATTCCCATCTTCACCCCACCCTATCCCCTTGAGCATGCCTGCTTTGCTGCAGTCCACGGTGAAGGAGTTCTTTTGACCCACAAAGGCCTGGGACAGCCCAGGGCCCCGTGTCACCACCTTGCTGGCATCTGAGGAGAACTTGGGGATGGAACTATAGCTGGAACCACGGCTTGAGGATGACTTGGTCACAGTCTCCACCAGAACAGTGGATGTTTCATGAAGGCTGTGACCTCCAGACAGCCGGGGACCTGCGGGGGACAGTGGGTGGCCATGAACCCAGTCGGTATGAATCCTGCCTTTCCCTAGGTCAGCCCTGGGCCAGCTCTGTGACACTCAGGGACCCAGGGCACATTGAATGCACTGTGTTCCCCCACAATCTCAGCTGTGACATTCAAGCAGTGCAGCCCCATTTCCAACAAGTGCCCAGACTACCAGCTCCAACTCCTGCTTATCCTAGATCTTGGCCTCTGAAGACGCTGTCCCTCATCCTTCTAGGCTTTGTCTGGGAACTCAAGAATCTTACTTTTAAAAGGAACATCCTACATAGCTAAAAAAGTACTTTAAACAGGTTTCAAAAGGGAAGCTTCTCAAATATCTGTCTTCTTTAAAACAAGAAATAAGGGACACCTAGAAGAAAAAGTTAATATTTGGGGTATTACTGTAGGTGGACAAAAATAGCAAGGAAGAACTGGAGTTCTTGTTTGTTCGATTGGTGTTTGGATTTTGGTACCAAGAAGTGAACTCCACGTAATGGAGTAATATAGAAAGCCAGGTTCCCGCCCCCCGTACCTCCTTCCTGGTAACTTGGCCATGCTGTCTGGGGAGGATTATGGTCAAATGAGAACAGCCACTAATGCTGTCGGTGCTGGGCTGGGCTATAGCCCTCCCCCACCTGAGGCACTCACCTGTGACCTTAGCTTTGAAGGGGCTGCCCACGATGTGCTGGGGGCCACCGTACTTGATGGCGATGAGGTAGTTGCCAGGGGCCATGGGAGTGTAGGTGACCACATGGCCCTCAGGACACTCCCGACAGTCCAACTGCACCTTAGAGGGGCCATCGATAGTGACAGACAAGGCCCCTGAGCCTGCATTCAGGGTGTTCACAATGAATTCTGATGACACACCTGGAGGACAGAGGGAACAAGACTGTAGGCAGGAAGAGATGCAGCCTAGAGTGGCACTGAGCCCCAGGTCTTGGGCTGCGGGAGACTTGGAGCTTGGGAAGCATTGCTCCTGCCTCCAGGGCACTCAAGTACCCCAAAGCCCACCCCTGCACCCCAGCTCAGGCACTCACCAGTGGTGCCTCCCTCAAGCCCAGGACCATAGGCTGACACCAAGCCTGGGTCCCCGGCCTGGCTTTGTTCTCCTACACGAATCTTGAAGGGGCTTCCAGGGATGTGGGCACCATTGAACTTGACATCGATGGAGTGGACACCATTCTCATGCGGAATGAAGCGGATGGTATGCTTGTCTGGGGACAGAGCGTTGGTGGTAAATATCTTTCCTTCCTAGGAGGTCCTGTCTGGCAGGGGTGGCAGGGGCATGGGCAGCTCCTCACCACTGTCCAGCTCAGAGACATAGCACTCCTCTACTGCCCCTGACGGTGTGTGGACCCTCGCATCAATCACGCCCCGGGCACCATTCAGCTGCACTGCAAAGGATGCTGGCTGGTTCACCTTGAGCCCCGTCTCCTGCAAAGGCCACAGAAGATACTCAGATTCCTGGGAGGCTAGGGCTGGAGCATCTTCCCTGCTGCCTTTCTCCATGAGCCCAGCGGAGGCACCAGCCTTCCCAGTCCCTGCTGGGCCCTGCCAGCCATCCCATCTTGCAGGGAGACACAGAGGAGGCTGGGGCTGGTCTGACATCTGCATTCACCTGCCATCCACCACCAGAATCAGGCTAGGTACTATGGTGGACAAGGGACGGCATGACCTCTCCTGGCTGAGGAAGCAGGGGCCAGACACTGGGCAAAGCTGGCCTAGTGGGGCTGGTGAGATGGCTCAGTGGTCTAAAGCACCTACTTAGAACAAGCTTAGAAAAGCACAGGGACCATGGTTCAATCCCCCAGCACCACATGCCAGCCAGCCCCGCCCCCTGGTGGGCTGAGCTGGCCACACACACACACACACAC